AGATGAGAAAGTTTGGATCAAAATACGGATAAGGATGGCAATAAATACTGTATAACGTTACACATTAAAAATCGGGCGTTACTTTGTGACGCGACTGTACATCTCATTGTTTTATGGTATTATACTAAGAAAATAATAAGAATTGTAGCGTGTTACATGTTTGGTCATAAACTTGCGGATCAAAGAACGCGTAACTAATAGAAAAATGTCAAAAGAAACTTTATTTTTTTTTTCATTTTTCCTATTGGTTATCTTATTTTCCGGATTTAGGTTTCATAGTAATTATCGAGATTTTAATTGTGGAGGGTGAGGCAGGGCGATAAATTTGTGAGAAAAAAATTTTTTTTGTGACGCATTTTAATAAAATGTGTTTTTATGTGCAAAAAAAATTCATCTATTAAGCTGTTTTAATGATTCTTCGGATAAACTTTGATGGGTTAGAAAAGCTGCGTTCCACTGCATAGCTTGACAAATTTTTCCATTAGTTTCATTCAAATCGATTATCAAAAATTTTTTCGTGATTCATATCGAACCCCTGAGAATTTTGTGATTATGTGGTGGTCGTGATGGTAAGAGATGAGATTTTTTACCAGTTTTCAATTCTCATTTTCTACTTTCAAATGATAAGATATTTTTTCTCAGCAAAAACTTATCAAATGACCTAAGCTTAAAGATTTCGATTTTGAAAAAGACAATTGATGTTTGACAATGACTTATTAATAAATAAAATGTTTTATATATTTATATTTTGTTTGCAAGTGATAAATTAAAATTGTACCGCGATAGTTAATTAAATTTAGATAATGTAAATAAATTTAATAACTTTTTTTAGTTGCGAGAAGAGCTTATTTACAACATATGTTTTTTATACTACGAAAAATCATCGATGCAAAGTTTAATTCCGACATCATATTTATATTCACTGGAAAAATACTAATTTATATTCAACCACACATTGTCCCTCTCTTCACAAATTCAAACTTTTCAAACTTCTTTTTTTAAAATAAAATGGCAATGCTTTTTACGCAACATGGTGAATGTATGGAACGCACAACAGAAACTGAAATGCAAGTTGAATCAACAGATACCGTTAAATGGTTAAAGTTTGCTTTTAAAGGAAGCAAGAAACGTGACCAAATCGATGAAAGTACGTGGATAAATCTAGTCAATGACAAATCAAATTTGTTAATTATTCAAAAAGGTAAGTATATCGATCTAGTTAATGATATTTAGCTATACCAAATTTAACTATTCCTTAAGAACAAGGAATGTGTTCTGGTGTAAAAGAACAAAAAGCGATACATGACATATGTGAAGTAATTAGCAAGTGGTTTAACCTCTTTTTAAACATATACAACAAAAAATGCCAAGGGAAAAACAGTTCGTGGATTTTCACGGATTTATCGTGCAATACCAAGAAATGAAAAAGTAATTTTCTTGGTCGATAAATTTGCCCGGATGACTTTAGATGATATACATACATTAGTTGCATATAAACGATTAAGAAATTCTGGTTCACAATTCCTATTGGATGCCCGTTAATACATCATCCGAACAAGTGAAAGAAGCTTAAGGTAATTTCTGTGGAAAAAGATTTTCCTGAGCCATTTGAAAAATGTGTTAGATGGTTATATAAGCCATAGATGTTGCATTAATAACAAATCGTAAATTACTTCAAACAAGTTATATTATAAAGACAAATATAATGATATTAAAGATTTTATTAAGCAATAAAAACAAATGCAAAACCATTTCTATTTTGCTACATTATCAGTTTTATTTTTTATTATTCATTCAGTCGTTACTAACTTTTTAGTTATTTGGCATGAAATTCTTTCTGTTGTCAAGACGTATGAAAGATAAGCAAATAAAAATATTGAAAATGTGACTTATTAATCATCAAATTCCGGTTTATTAAAATCTTCTAAGGCCTTATTTATCATTTCAACGAACTTTGATCCTTTATGACTTTCACAATATGCTTCCCACATAGATCCATCCTTTTCGTAATCGGTCAAGTATTCTCTTTCCTTTGGCGCATCAGGTAAATCATCATAGTTCTCAGGATCATAATCATCAAAATTAACAACTTCCTTTTCCATGTACTTTAATGCCTTCCAAAATGTATCCATTAAAACCTGTTCTTTTCGTAAAACCTATCTAAACTCTTAACTTTATTGACTTTTATACTAACACAAATCTCCTCATTTTCATTAGCAAAATCGATTTCATCTATGTTGACATTAACAAGAAAGAAAAATTTTAGGACAATTAAAATTAAGCACATTACATATAATAATAGGATTACCTAAAGCTGTACTGGCTTTTGCTTTTTGCGCGTATGAAATATTTGGTGAAATGTAGGTAGGTTCGTTGACAAGTTTCTCTCTGGTATCTATTTGTTCTTTTAAATAAAAGATTTAGGTTAGTGATTTAGTGAAAAAAAATAGCTGCGTCTTTATAACCGCACCGATTATCAAATAAAGAAGAGAATTGATATAGCAATACCTTTTGCTTGCTTTACATTTTCATCATATAACGTATCATCGTCGCAATTTGTAATATTCGTCATATCATTGGCGCCTGTAAAGTCAATTATGCTAACATTATGGTCAATAATTAAGTGTCGATTTAGTGTATCGAGAGATCCAAATTGACGCAGTTCATTTCAAATTAGACACTAAAAATGAAAAAAGTTCAACACAACCATTTAAAAACGTAGTTAAAAACGGTTTCAAAACCAACCTTAAATGGCTTCTGTTGGGCGTGTTTACGCAAATGCTCTGCAAAAATGTAATAACAGCTTATAATACGTATTGCAGAATTAGAAACTTATTGGAATATTTCATTATACCTTTTAACTTAATAATATCCCTTTGTGAATTTTTGCAACCTTCCCATGGACATATATAAATTGGATGACCTCGGAGAAAAGCTCTATAAATAGAAGAAAGGTATCAGATAAGTTTGAAACCAAAAGATTCTTTAAAATTTGACCCAATTTACCCTAAATTACTTAAGTCGTCGTGATCATTGTCAATGTGAAGCTCAAGTTCCTTCCGAGTATTGAAGCGTTGTTGTTTTAAATGAGCATCAGACCATTTGCAAACAAATGGTGCTTAAAATCTGGTAATGATTTGCTGAAGGCTTTTTCTAACCTTTTTAAATATTTGTGTATTCATAAATAGTTACTCCATACAATTATAAGTCACCAGACATGTGGTAGTTTACTAATTAAACGTTGTTTTAATAAATGTGATTTTATAAAATTTATCAACTTATCAAAATATCACAAATCACAAGCTCTCAAAAGTTTTTCTTTTTGTTAACTAATTAGGATAGATGATTGATAATTCCATAAGAGAGATAGATCATCACTTTTTTCTAATTTTCATTTTTTCATTTTTTCCTTGACCGACCAAAAATTTTAAACATTTTTTTTTTTATCAGTGGTGATTATTCAATCAAAAAGAATTAACAAATAATATTTCGAAAAAAAAAAAGTATCGATGAAGATTAAAGATTTTGAACTAGAAATTTTGGTGAATGATATACCACTTAAAGAATATAAAATACCCGATTCGGATCTTGGAGTAATTTATTTTTTTATTTATAAATTTTTTAATTTTTTATTTTTATATAATTTTTTTTTTTTCTAAATCAATTTTATATAGCTAAGCGTTAATAGAGCGCTAAAGTCATACGCGTTTGATAAAATAAAAAGTCAAAAGTACATAAGGTATTTAATCTATATATATATTTCACCATTTTATATAAAAATCTAATTTTTTTTCTTGTTTATAGCGCTTCGGCTACTTTTGTTGCGGTGCCTGAACCCGGAACCTCTTACAAGATAAAATATTCATCGGCTTTAGCAACTGATCATGAACCAATCAAGGCAAAAGTTTACATAGATGGACAAACTGATAAATGCTACACAAACCTTGTTACCTGTTTATCATTCTCCAAGGAAGGTTTTTATAATCAAGATTTTACCAAGAAATACAAATTAATATTTGATAAAACGGAATGGACTGAAATGGACCAATCAACAGTCATACCAAAAAAGGCAAGGTATGGAGACTTGGGTGTGATCTCGGTTTATTTTTATCAAGCGAGATTTAAGAAACGAAAAGAGAATAAGAGATTGAAGACATCTAGTTCTGAACGGGATTTAAAACAAACCAAAGTCACCGAGAATAAAAGCAATATAGATATTACATTAACCACAAAATTTGATGAAGGGGAAGCTTTTAAGCAACCTGAACTAAATGAAAGGACGTTATCAAAAATGGAAAAGGAACCAATTGCGGTACTCCACATCAATTATCGTCCTACCTATTGGTTCGTTACAAGAGGTATTTCAATTCAACATGACCTTGCGACGGCGAATAATTATAATACTATGTCCACAACTACGAACGAAGTTGTCATCAAGCGAGAGCCTGAGGACGTTCAGATTAAAGTCGAGGAAAATATTGTAGATGTTCCAATCAAAGTTGAGAACATCATGGACGTTCAAATAAAAGTCGAGGAGGAGGTTCCAAAAAAAGTTGGAAAAACTAATAAACGTAAATATAAAGTAGTAAAAGGGTAGAAACAATGCCATATCAAATAAAAAATTATTCTATATGCACGTTACATGCAGATGAACTCATATTTTAATTATTAGAAACTTTTTATTATAATTATGAATCATCAATCAAAACTTCAATAACGTAACCATTAGAGAAACTTCTTGGACAAACAGACAATGGTGCTCAAATAGATAAACAAATTAAGATTCATTTCTTTGTGACTTAGCAATACTCTATCATAAATTAAATGTTAAAATCAGTAACTTTGGTAATTAATATAATTAATTTATTTGAACCAATGGATAAATATATGAAAATTATTGATCTTTGACATCTCAATTTAATGGGGACCTGACAGGCAAATTAAGTGTGATCGGCGTATCAAAATGGAATAAAGTTAATTCACAATAGTATCCCCTAAAGGAAATTTGATTGGTACAAATATCCATAAATGTATTTTACATTGAATAATATTTAGCACAAACACAAAAATCATGTAAATGTATATTACTATGAAATTTTATAATTTTGCATTGTCTATTTTAATTAATAACAACAAAGAAATTATCAAAATGGAAACATGTATATAAAGCCGTGGATATTTCGCTTCTCTCTTTTTAAATTCTCACAAATTTCAAATTTCAAATAAAATGAATTACGGTACAATCCCCAATGCGAATTCTGGCGACGGCAATTCAAGCGGCCCTATCAAAAAATCAACATGTACTTCTATAGCTGAATTCCTCGAATCCAGTGCCATGCAATGGATTATCTTAATTGTGGTAACTGCGGGCATGCTCGCTCTAATGGGCATAACCATAATCAAATTTCATCCGGATGACACCTCCCTCATCGGACTCTTATCAAACTTGATATTCGTTATCAACATTGTGTTCCTAGTTGAAATTTTTCTAAGATTTATCGTATTTGGCCCAACCTACTTCTATAATGGAAAGTATGGCCCTTTACATGGTTTGGACGCTTTGGTGGTCCTTGCAACGTTCGGTCTCGTACTCTTCTTTGAGGATAAAGATAAAGAAATGGTCGAATTATTATTGTTGCTACGGTTGTGGCGTATAATTAAGATATGGAATGTAGAAGGGATCGACTACATCAAAAAATCCGAACCCCCTGCTTTACATGTTTTATTCGTTATGGATCGAGGTGGCTCGATGGGTGGTAAGAATCAATAACGCACATATATATTATATTTATATTTATATATATTTTATTGAATTTAATGCGATCTCATAATCAAATATTTGCAGCTTCTGATATCACCCCGCAGAAAAATTCTCGTAATTACAACAACTTACGAACCTCTCATAATAATCGCCTTGGAGCTGCGTATGATGCGGTTTATTCATTCATGGAAACTCGATTGCAAACATTTCAAAAAAACACAGGAACTCCATTGATTGCTGGCCGGGATAAAGTATCGCTTATTCTTTTCGATGATAAAGCAGATGTAGCCATTGACAACAAAAACATGGAAATCAATTTACTCTTCGAAAAGATGCTTGAATATAAAGCCACAAAGTGATTTTTGCATTTTTTAATGTTTGGTATCACTTTACCGGATGATATGTTAACATTTCCAATATACTTCTTCTTTTCAGAGGCCGCTCCGATTATAATGTCGCCATTAATAAAGTAGACGAACTTGTCACCAAAAATTTTGATGTCACAAGGTTAACTTTCGTTTTGAAATAATTATTTATTTATTTAAAAATTGTATCATTTGATTGTTTACCTTGAATTTTCGCGTAGGCTAAACGTTGTAATCTTTTTCTCGGATGGGGAAGTGGAATTGTCTGAATTCAACAATTTGGACTCGATTTGTAAACGCAATGCCGAAAAAAGGTAATCAAATCTTCTTCCATGAATCTTATAAAAGTTCATTTTATATTATTTATTGACAAATATCATTCTAGTTTTCCGTTATACTTCTATACTGTCCATTTTGGTCCAGATACCGGAAGCGATACTTTGGAAATGATGTCCAACGTCGCTAAATCATATAACCCACAGGGACCCTTATCCTCTCAGTTTACAATTGTCATGGACGAGGTTATGTTAAACAACCTTCTCATTAGGATGGCGATCGCTTTACGAGATCTTAATGCGGCAATGCGAGAGATACGTTGGTGGATAGTTCAGGTTATTAGCAAATTGTGTGGCTAGCTGTTTTAGATTTGTTGAATTATTACTCCTATGTATAGTTAACTTTATTTGCTCATACCTTGTATAAATTATCTCTCATTATTGAGGTTCATTTAATTGATAATATTTTTTTTAGAGCAAAATACTTTGAAATATGAAATTTTAAGTTTTAAAAAATTGTTCGAAATAAATTTATTAAAAGTTTTTTATTGTATATTGAGAGGATTTTCTTAACGAATTCACGCCAGTTTCTATATGGGAAATAAAATACATGATACATCACGTTTCCACTTCCAACATATAATAAATTGTGGTTTATAGAACAAAGCAAAAAAAATTTTGTATAAAATTCAACTTTGTGAAACAAAGATCAGCACTATTAGTTTTAGAGGGATTCTCAAATGTGGCGCATGGTTTTGTTATATCCTAAACACAATTTGATCATGCTAAAATTTATTGTCATAAAATTTGTGAATCAGTCATTGATGATATATAGCCCAGGAAAAGAAGCGAAGGATCTGGAGTCCAATTAATATAAAAAAAATTATTACTACGACTTTTTCCAGTTGAAAATTCGAAATGGTTCTGTACGTTGCTATAAAGACGAACTTCAAGAAATTGAGCTGCTTTTTTTCCGATTATTCAAATGATAATCAGGCTGTTGTTTTTACACATAAAAAAATTGCATTCTCCAATAATGAAAAATATAATGTTACCATAAAATTACAAATTATAAAAGAACGTTGGCTAATTCTGGAATTTCACAGAATTAACTTTTCACACTATGATTGATTTGAATCATGTTCACTTTCCAAATTAAGCATGCGCGATCAGGATTTCCGTGTAACGCGAATATCGGTTTTGCATTTTATTATGGAGGCAAAGAAAAGAGCAATTTGGAACATGTCTTGATTGCGAATCAGCCAAAACCGATTATTGTTGGTGCGAAAAATGTGATAATGCAAAATTAATAGCTTCATTCGAAAAATGGACCAGTGGAGACAAAGAAATTGATGAGTTTATCCGAGATACTCAACGAAATGCTAAATCTTATACAGCATATTTAGAATGGATTCCTTTCAATGATTTTGAAGATGTAAAAGATTTAGCTAAAGGTGGATTCGGTACTGTATACCAGGCACTTTGGAAAACCGGTGAAAGGATTGATGATCCATTGGATGAACATTTAACCCCGTATAAAAGAGAACGAAATGAAAGAATTCCAGTTGCACTTAAACGACTTCATAATTCTAAATCTGTATCGAAAGAATTTTTGGATGAGGTACATTGTAACTTAAATCTTTCTTGTTCTTTTTATAAAAAAATATCTTAAAAAAAAGAAATTTTTTTTTTTTAGCTTAAAGCACATCATAGATGTGCAACATATGGGATGCGATTTCTCAAATGTTATGGAATTAGTAGACATCCAGAAAAAAATGATTTGGTCATGGTTATGCAATTCGCCAAAGGTGGTAACCTTCGTCGATATTTACAAAAAAATCCAGACCTTGATTGGCAAAAAAAATTAGACATCTTGCACTTTATTGTTCATGATCTTGAAGCACTTCATAATGCAGGATTAGTACACAGAGATTTTCATAGCGGAAACGTTATTATGCGTGGTACTTGGGCATATTTAAGTGACCTTGGATTAAGTAGTCCAGTTAAGAGAGACGTTTCAAAAGAAGTTATTTATGGTATTATGCAATATATCGCACCGGAAGTTTTAAGAGGAAAACATTATACACCCGAAGCTGATATTTATAGTTTTGGTATTATACTGGCTGAAATAGCATATACGGATAAAGCCTTTTTTCATGCAAAAAGAGATGAAATATTGGCCATATATATTATTAAACATAATAGACGTCCTAAAGTACCAGAAGGAACACCAAATTGTTATCGTGATTTAATGGAAAGGTGTTGGGATAGTAATAAGGATAAACGGCCTAAAGTTCATAAAATCAAATCCATTCTGGATCAATGGCGTCATAATCCTCCCTATAGTGTTCTTCAAGAATTTAGAGAAAGTGATAAATTACCTAAGACGCTTCCTACTGATGAAGAAGCTGCTACTAATGAACCTGCTCACAATGCTGTTCCTATACATACTAAAGCGATTAACACTGCTATGGGAATCGAAACTTCTGTTAGAAATCATGACGAATTTCAAAGACAATCTAATCTATATACTGGAACCTCTATTGTAGATCCGGGAATGACAAGGTAAAGTATTAAATAAATTAAAAGTATATATTTTAATAAAAAAGAGAATTATATTTATTTTATGATCTTCCTAACTTAATTTAGTAAGGTCACGGACAAAGCCTGTTTCATGATTGAAAGAACCATTTGTTCTTTTATCATGAATGTAAATTATGTCTATTAAGTACTTATCAAATTATTTAAATAAATAAAATTGTAAGCATATTGACACTTCTTATTACTATATTTTATCTGTCATATAATAAATAATATAAGATCATAAAAACCAAGTAAATTTCTGCACCAGTTTATGAAAAATTAGTAAAATCAGCATTTTAACAGATCATAATATAATTAAATATGAGTAAACAAAAACAAAAGCTAATTCAATGATTTAATAGATTAGGATGTTTTCAAGCATCTTTCTCAAAATCAGTTGCTATCTCAAAATAGCGTTTCTCAAAAAAACAAAAATTTTCAGACCAATACATTTACATTTACTACATAAAAAAATATAGTTTTATTCAAATTATATTTAAAAATAAAAATAAACAATTGTGTTTTCAAAAACCTATACATATCACATCTTTTTTGGAAAGAAGTGTGTTATAGGAAAATTCATAATTCACTGACCCTCCTAAAAATTGAATTTTTAAATGCATGAATTCACAAACACAGTAGAAGCAAGTATATCTTTTGAAAAAACTCATCACTTTGATGTAGTTATAAATATTACCAATATTATGATTCCAGTTAATGTTAAAGCTTTTATTCAAATGATGTTTCAAATTCATGATTGTGAAAAGCATATAATATTTCTCTATTATCAAAAAAATTCTAGTGAATTTAGGTTACAAAAACATTCATGCTAAACTTGAAAATGCTTGTCTTAATGATTTATTTACAACAATTAAGGATCATTGTAAATAGGATAAAAATATTGTTTCATATAAACTTGATCAATTGTCTATTATAATTTTATATCTTAAAGTCAAGTATTGTAAACATCTTGCTACAAAAAATTTTATTGAAATATTATGCAATCTTATTGCTAATATAAATACTTCTTTCCAACTTATAAAAATTAATAAAAGCTAAAGAGTTATAGGAAATCACAAATAGATCCACAATAAGGTTAGGGTTGAAGCATTAGTTATTAAGGAAACAGGTTTTGATGTGATTGGTACTTTCTAAAACCTTTTTCCTAAAGAAGCTAAATTTTTTAAATATGATTAAGAGCGTTCTATCCCAGATTTTATAGCACTTAAATGATTCTATATATGAAATCTTTATGGTGGTAAAAATATAAGCATTAAAGATTAGAATAATCTTTGCAATAAGAAGTTTATAGAATATTTTAGATCACCTGAACCTTAAAAATATTTTCTGCATTTATTTTACTTCTGAAAGCAAGATTGTGATGAAGATAGTACAATAAAATATTTAATTGCTAAAGATTTTATATAATAGAAGAATTCCTTTTTTAAAGCTGAAGAGAATTTTGAAAAATTTGTAGCAGAAGTCTTATGTAAAACTTATTCAGCAAATCATTAAAAAATTATATATAAGGTTTTTAAGATATTAGATTTTACTGACATTAATGATAAATATATTTTTCATAGTAATATTATATTAGAATCATTTATATAATCCTATGAAAGGTTTATAGAAATTTGAAATCAATCCTTATTATTTTTAAGCTTTAAGTTTTATACTAAAATAACTTCAAATCTTAATTTAGCTATTAAGATAATTAATGCAATTGCTAGCAATTGATATGATTATATAGTGAACTCTTGATATAACGAATTATAAGATCTAAATATCAACTTTATTATAAGTTTATAACAAATTTTTTAAAGAATTTAATTGGCTAGTTCACCATAATAAGATAATTTTAATATATTTGATTTAAAAATTCGCTATATCAAGGATTCGCTATATCAGAGTTTGACTGTACTATTAAAAGTAATCAAAGAAGAATAAAACCCAAGAAATAACAGGTTTAGATATATTTATACCAAATTAATTACCAGCTATATAAGGATCTTAGTTTTAAAGATAAAGGTATATCAAAGCTTTCACTATATAGATAAAAAATAAATAATAAAATTTAGAAACTCTTTGATTTTATAAAATAAGAAAAATAATTCTTTGATCTAAGGTTGCTTATCTAAATTTATTTTGGATTTGGCTAAACGTCTAAACCTTTAATTTCGCTAAATTTTTACTAAATGGTTGATATAATTTCGCCATTTTTATAAGCTTTGATATAGTTATACTTTTTTTGAATTTTGCAGATTTTTTAATAAGATTTTAATATAATTTAACCAAGTTTTACTTTTATTATTTAAACGTTTGTCTAAACTCTAGATTTCGTCTAGTAACCTTACTCTGATCTAAATTATTATTTAGCTAAAATAAGTATTCTCAACTATATCAGATTTCATTTTAATTTTTTTATTTTTGTGCTAAACATATCTATAAATTCAACTATGTATTTTACAGATTCTAGTATGAGAATTGGTTAATTCATTATAGATAGGTTATATTTTTTTAAGATGAGTTTTATGATATTTGACATATCTTGAAATACACTAGCACAATTTTTTATAAATCAAACTATCTTTCTTGATGTATTGACAGAATAAATGATCTATACAAGGTAAATTTGATACTAATAATCTTAAACTTTATTTTTACTTTTATTATAGATATTCAAAATCCCTTTACTTTATTATTTTTACTAAAGTTACATAAAGTTAGAGTTTCTTTTTCTTTACTAATAACCTAGAAGAAAGTTTAAGTATATCCTGAAATCTTTGATTAAGGGATTTTTTTTGAATTAAAAAATAACTAGATTAGTATAATTAGGTAATAATCACAATCTAGTTATTATGATAGCTACTGTGAAAAGTATTTCAAAAATTCAAAAGTCTAATACTAATATTTTAATTTTATGATAGTTCCTAAAAAAGTATAATTTACCAGTTGACTCTACCTTAGAATAATTAAGCAAATATGCCTGAATTTGATATATCACTCTTAAACTAAAAGGTCTACAAATGTAAAAAAGATACTCTTATCAGAAATATTAAAAAAAAATACATACAGTCAACCCTTGATATAACGAATTTTATGTCCTGAACTTCAACTTCGCTATAGAGCTATAGTGAATTTTTTAAAGAATTTGATTGGCTAGTTCATTATAACGAGGGTAAATTTAATATAGTTGTCCAAAAAATTCGTTATATAAAAATTCGCTATAGAGAGGTATGACTGTATTTAACAAAAAGCAAATAGAAGCTCTTATGTCAGATAAGTAAAGGGAAAAACTCATAATTAGAGAAAAAGCTCTTTATTATATCAAGATTAGTGATAAGTAGAATATTTATATATACAGTCAATTCTTGATATAGCGAATTCTTGATATAACGAATTTTTAAATCAAATATATTAAATTATCTTACTATAGTAAACTAGCCAATTAAATTCTTTAAAAATTCATTATAAGTTTATAATGAAGTTGATATTTAGATCCTAAAATTCGTTATATCAAGAGTTTATTGTATACTCTCAAACTAAGTCTAAAATATGATGATGATAAAGAAATCATTGCTGATTATTCATAAATTTTACTATTTTATAATAAATTGGTATTTCTTCTAAACTTATTGATACCTATATCAATGATCCAAATATTACTATAACCTCTAGGATTCCACAATTGATTTGATTTGATCAAATTCAAATCAAAGAATGATTTATTTAATCAAATCCAAATTAATCTTTAATTCGATTTAATCAAATTCAAATCAAGTATTCAAATATTTAATTTGATTCGAATCAATAGTAAAGCTATCTCTAAAACTTCAGAAGTGATTCTTACTAAGTAAACCATAGTAAAAAGCGCCTCCGCAGCTTCGAAAATACATTTTTTACTAAGAAAATATAGTAAAAAATGCCTTTGCGGCTTTGGAGATACTATTTTATTAAGAAAATATAGTAAAAATGCCTCTGTGACTTCAGAAACGTTTTTTACTAAGAAACCTAATAAAAAACACCTCCGCAGCTTTGGAAACATTTTTTTTACTAAGAAATATAGGTAAAACATTATCTAACTAATAGTCATAATAATCAGATTATATTTTTGATCAAACTATCATCATACAAAATAAAGTGCAATAGGTGTTTATTACAACTGGATATAAATCAGAAATTTACTGATTGCTGTTTATCAAAAATTCCGATTTGTGTTAAATGTTATCTATTTATTGTTATCAGTTCAGACTAAATTTAATTTTGAAAATCGTGATCTACTAGGTGATTATAATTTCATTATGAAAAAAACTTAAGACTTTCTAATTTTGTCATTAACAACAGACCGGCGAAATTATATTATTGTGCAATAAATTTATATGCCAGATTAAGTAGAATTGATGATCAAAAATATCAATTTTTGATTATTGCATACTGCGGTTCACGGATCATGTTGGCTGAAATTTTGATTGTGGCAAATTGTGAATCATATTGGCTAAATTTTTAACTATTCTAATGATATTAATGGTTATAGAGACAATATTGTGATATAATTTAAATTTCTCCCACAATGAAAATTTTCTAAATATTCGTTAAAATTGGTATTATAAACTTTCATATTTAACAGGAAATGGAGTAATTTGCTATCCAACTATGATAATCTTGATTATATGAACTGAATCGAAAAATGAAAAGGAAAAGCTGTTAGTGAACCTTTTGCTGCTAGTCGATATGAAGCAATGTACCCAAATCCATTTTTTTTAGGTAATACAATTCTGAAGAAGCTTGATGCCTGACCTGAATATTATGGCAACTACATATGAAAGTGTCTCCTTATAGAAATAACAGCTATATATGAAATTGGTTTTCTTTTGCTAATTTCGAATCTGCAAGGTATAAATCGACAAAATATATTGTGTATTAGTATAATACAGTTTCTGCTGATCTCATAAAATCTGTTTAGCCAGATTTCTATATTGCAATTTT